GTTTGTGATTTACATTATCTTTTCCTGCACCAGATGAAAATATTACAGTGAAAGATTTAAAAACTTTGAAAAAGTGTGAGCTTGATGATTTAATTACAAAATATGGCCTAAGGAGGAGGTTTGGTAGAGCTTTGGTAAAATGGATGTCATCGCATAGCTTTTTGATAGATCCCGGACTGCTAATGGTATATATGTACACTTGATTGAATTTTTTGATATATTATATTTTTCTATTTTGTGACATTAAACAATTTTTTTATAGCCGTGCGGTATATAGTTCACACACACGAGCATATATACACGCACACACACACGTATATATATGAACTGTTATATAATATTATTATCTGTGCAAATCTATGCAAACCCATATGTATATAAAGACCATATAGCATATTGTTTTATATAATACAATATGCATAATTTTGTACTGACAATTAACATTGTTAAAAGCCAGGCATTATTTTTTGTTATAGGCATATGGTAATGTACAATATACATACATCGAGAACATAGACATCAGCAAGCAATCTCCTTCAGTGAATTGTTCATACGATAACGATCCATTTGTCCATTTTCCCCAATTAAATTCATCCAAAACTGATTCTACAAGTAACAGCGATAGTAATCTTTCACAGAATTCATTAAACCCTCCGCATTTTTGCGATTCTGTAAGCGCTGAGAAAATCACAGCAAAAAGTAACAAGTTTGAAGATACCTTAGATGTACAGCTAGTGGAAAATCCTCTTGTTACATTTTCTACACATGTTGAAGAACATTTTGAAGGAACAACTGCACAGTCCGATGAGCTGAAAGATTTTGACGATATTACAGTTGTCTCTATTCCTGAATCAGATGAAAATGGTACTCAACAGCAATCACCAACTCTAGATTTTAATATCGCAGAATCTGAAGTTAGAAATCCACTGTTTACCCTTCTACACAATAGCGGATCCCATTTACGAAAACTCATTCACAATATCCATCGTAATGATTTGGTACCAGTGCGGCCTGACATAAATTTGATAGGAAAAGTTATTGCTAATCATCTGCTCGATTTAGCTACTCCTCCGCAACGAAAAGTACCTACATCTACCCTTATAACATGGACGAAATATTTTAAAGATCGATTTCCAAAGACACCGACATCCGCTTTCTATGCCTTTAAATACGAGCCGTACAAACGTAAAGATGGTATCTTACTTCAGAGAAAAAGAGCAGAAGGTGTGCTACAGGTTCAACTCTTTCAAGAAAGGAGAAAACTTATCAAAGAAAACCGAGATATTTTGTTGAGACACCCAAATATAGTTTCAACTGACAAGAACAGAGATCCGTGTTCTTCAAATGACATATATAATATTACAACAACCTGGAGGTCTGTCAGTCAATCAGAAGGAGAAATTCAATCTAGCATTGAAATTCCAAGAAAAGGTAATTAATTTCATCATCCGCAGTAAAATATGTTAATAATATTGTTCTCATATATTATATTTCTTTCCAACAATTAATTTGCGCACATTAGTATCTGTTATAGAAGCTGATCCAACAATAGAGACTCATCTTTTGTATTTGCGGCAGCAATTGCACTATAAATTGACTCCACAGCTAGCAGCCTCTTGGGAAGCAACTTTTCAGTACAGGCGGAAACAACTAACAGATCAACCAGGAACAGTATGGGATTATTTAAACGAATATAAGTTTTTGCAAATTGAAGAAATCGGTAAAGCCTTAGTAAGTTTTCTTTATAAACTTAGTAATATAATGTGCTTACATCAAATATTTATTCGAAATGAATAGTATTACTTTTTATGTGGACATATCAATGAAATTACAAAACTTCCATATGCAGATTGAACAGGATTTCGACAAACTTTATCCCGACCTAGACCCTATAACGAAATACTCGGGGAATCTAGCCAAAAATTGTGAGAATCACAGACACGCCATTATCGCAGCAGCCTTAGTAGTTCTAAAAAAAACAAGCCAACAGAAGCATAAGGATATAGCTACTTCGTTCTTTGAGTTGGCTAAACGTAAGTAATACATAATATATACAGTATACTCTTAGATTTTATAATATTTATTTTACTTTTTTAGAAGATTCCAATGTTACGCTTAGAGTGACTGGAGCTCTCCTTTTACTTCCTTTTATATTTCCTTATGTTCATGTGCACAAGACGTGGAAACCAACGAGAGTGGACATTGTAGAGTCTTTTATCGCGAGAGTCTATAGTGAAACGGAAGTTGAAGAACACATTGAACGCCGACGTAAGTCGCGGATAGAAATAGCAAAGTCAGCAAAAATATGTACATCTCTTCAACCTTATGTTTTGGCCATAGGTCCTACCTGGGATAATATCAGTCACAGTCACATAATTGTAGATAAAGTTTTATATACATGCAAAAACATTATAGAGGCTGCGGAACTTTGTTTTAAATTGTTTCATGTTTTCCACTCTGATTATCCTCCTGAAAGTAAGCACGTATGGCAATTTATACAACAAGGTTTTTATAAATTATTTATTAAGGATCATGATATCAATCGACGAACGATTATGAAAGCTTTGGCTGATATTGGTATTTATATAGAGGAAAAAGAAGTTACACCGTTGAGAAAAAAAACAAAAAAATTATAATTTTAATATTATTTTTCTAAGACGTTCCATTGTCAAATTAGTCCTTAATTTTTATTTGTTAACTAATAATAGAATTGTTACAGTTTTTATAATTAATATTTCCAATATCTTGTTAAGTTACAATGTTTTGAAAAATATTTGAGAAATAATTTCGTTGAAGAGTAACACTCTTCTTTTGTCTAAGGTTAATTTCATTATACATAATTGTACTATTATTCTTATTTTCCTCTTTTTGTCTCATTATTGCTACAATTTATCGTGCATTATGCTAACGTGCTATTATTGTTCGGGAAAATTTAAAGTAATATCTGAAATATTGAAACATCTTCAACACACATGTTCAAAGTTCTCGTATTCCAACTCTTCCCGTGTTCGATGCGGAGAATTTGGATGCTTCCGCATATTTGATTCATTACAAGTTCTTAGGATGCATTATAAAAGAATTCATGGTGCAATATCTACATATATTTCACAAAATAATGCTTCCATCTCTGATTCTGGTATTTCTACTAACGCAATTACTACGTTTGAAGAGAAGGTTGCACCAACACATGATTGCATATCTGTAGCGAGGAGTGTGAATAAAAAGATTGTAAGAAATAATGAAATACAAATGACCGATATAGAAGAAATAGGTTCAAATAGTGATGGCAGTATAGTACAAATGCAACCAACATCTAACAATCAGACTGCTAATAGTATTTTTACTCGTGATTTATCTTTAATACTTAGTTCATTGTTAACGGACCCAATTATTCCTAGAAAAACAGCTCAAACTTTAATCCGAAATTTATTACTTTTTGTGACAAATTCATTGACGTGAACTTCACAAATTTGCTACGATGACAGTATGCATAAAAATAGTGTACTTGATATTGAAAGCATTCTGGATATAATCAAGACTTCAGTTACTAACTTCTCCACTGAATATAGAAGAAACAAATATTATAAAGATATGGGTACATTAATATATCCTCAACAATATCTATTAGCTATTGGGAATGTTGAATTTTCTAGAGGATTGAGAAAACAAGTTATAGGAACAGGACAATTTATACCAATTCGTTATGTTTTAACCAAATTTTTATCAGTTCCCGGTGTTTTCATAGCTATTGATAAATATGTACATGATTGCAATTGCTCTTCTTCAATTAATAATATTGTTCGTAGTCCTACGTGGTTAGAAATTAGTCAAACTGAAAATGTTAATGAAAAAATTTATCCGTTATTACTTTATTATGACGAATTTGAAACAGGAAATCCATTATCCAGTCATGCAGGCATTCATAAATTGGGAACAGTATATATTTCAATAGCGTGCTTACCTCCACATTTAGCATCTAACATAAAATATATTTTTCTCTTTGCTTTATTTCATTATTCCGATCGTTTAACTGAAGATGGAAACCAAGCGGCTTTTTATCTAGTAATTAATGAATGGAAATATTTATCAACGGTAGGCATTACATTGGATATTCCAGAGTTCCAAGGAATTATAAAATTTAAATTAGGAGCGTTACTGGGAGATAATTTGGGACTTCATTCTATATTGGGGTTTGTTGAAGGTTTCAATGCTAAATATCCATGTCGTATGTGCAGAGCTAGTAAAGAACAAGTACAGCATATGTGTTCCGAAGACGTTTCTTTGCTACGAAATGAAGAAAATTATCTAACTGACGTCCATCATAACAATCCTAGCGAAACTGGGATCAGACATAAAGCAATTTGGTACGCACTTGATGATTTTGATATTTTTAAGCAAGTTGCCGTTGACATGATGCATGATATTTTAGAGGGTATTGCTAATTATACAATGACTTTAGTTATAAACTCACTGCTAGTAAAAAAATATTTTACTTTAAAAGAATTGAATGACAGGGCCGAAACTTTTGATTATGGTTCTGACACGAATAATCAACCGCCTCTATTGTCCTCAGAAAGTGCTTTCAAAATAAAATGGAAAATGTCATCAATTGAAACTTTAAACTATGTGAGATATTTTTCTTGCTTTATTTCTCACAAAGTACCAGATAATGATGAACACTGGCGTTTATATATATTGTTAAGACGAGTGTTAGATTTCGCTATGACAGACTGTGTAAATAATGTCGTTTGTGATCAACTAAAATGGGCAGTAGAGGAATTTAATAGTCTATATTTGCAACTTAGTTCAACTCCTCTGAAACCTAAATTTCACTATTTGGTTCATTATCCAGGGATAATGAAAAAATTAGGTCCCCTACATAACTTGTGGTCAATGAGGTTTGAATCGAAACACAGAATATTAAAAATAGCAGCTAGAAGTTCAATGAACAGAATGAATATTTGCAAAACTCTTGCTATAAAAAATCAGTTACAATTAAACCATTTATTTTTAGAAAATCAACTCCCATCCAATTTTCAGCATTCTTGTAAAATTATAAGAATTAACATTTCACGATTAATGTTGCTTTTAAGACAATTTAATCTCTCACCCTCCACAGAATTGTATTCCACTTCTTTTGTTAAAATTAACGGCATCACTTACAGGCCTAACAGCATTCTAACTTTATATATCGACCGACATTACGGAGACCCTGTTTTTTTTAATATTTCCAAAATTTATCTTTGCTTAATAACAAAGAAAACATTTTTTGAAGGACATTTGTTAGAAACTGTCACATTCGATCCTCATGTTTACGCGTACGTAGTTGAAAAAAGAAATAATCAACATTTCATATCTTATGATTCATTATTGTTTGTGCATCCAAATACTGTATCTGTTTTGTCGTCTTCGTATTTGTACATCACAATGCGCAATTCTTTGGATTAAATAAACATTCTTTGACTATTATTATTTCAATATACATATATATATATATATATATATATATATATATATATATATATGTTTAAGATAAATATATGTCTAAATATATGTCTTTACTTATTTCAATTTAATTTCTATCTCCCTATATCCATTTTAATCTTTACCCAACAATTTTTTGATATCCGATCACATATTCATCGGATCTGTTCCAGTAACAACGGATAATTATTGATCGGATAATTATTAATCGGATAATTATTGATCGGATATATCCGATCAAATTTTTCATCGGATATATAATTTGATCGGACATATCCGTTTGATGCTTTTTCATCGGATTATCCGATCAGATATGATCGGACATTTTTCTCAGTGAAGGATACCTTGACAGCACGGAAAAAATTTGTAACCAACAAAAGAAAACAAGTACCATATGGCAAATATGCGATAACTTATGCGAAGTAGTACAGAAAAACCTAGACCATATACAGAATATGACGGAACTAATACACAACATATACAAAACTCCTACGTACGCAAAACGAGGAATAATAGATGGAATAGGTATAGTAGCAAAATCACTGTTTGGTGTAATGGACGCAAACGACGAGGAGACGATAAACGAACAATTAAACCTATTACAAAATAAACAGGAAACTTGCTCAAAATAAACAGGAAACCGCGCAACACGCGGTGGCAAACCAATTAAAAGTTATCAATACAACAGTCCACCACCTAGACAACCTCGAAAAAACATTGGACACTAATGAAAAGATAATATGAAATAGCATAACACAGCTCTATACGGGCGAAGCTGGGTTCACACTAAGACACAAATAGACGAACACTTTACTATACTTAACGCTTTACTTGACGACCTAGTACGTGACCAGGATGACATAATCTACTATCTAGATAGAATAAAATCAGGGAACTTACCAACAAGATTAACACCAATAGAGAGCATCATATCCCAACTACAGGAGATATCAATTCACATACCAAAAGGCACACACTTCCCGTTTACACCTAAGAAAGAAAGCTGCGTAGAAATAGAGAAATTCTGCACAATCAGCGCATATTATAGGAACAAAAATATCTTTACTATATTAAACTTACCTCTTATAATTTATCCGAAATACGAAATAATTCACGTACACCCTTTTCCTGTACATAGTCACGATAACATTTTTGTTTTAATCGAGATCACACACACAAAAATCGCAATTAGTCAAGAGACAAATACATATATAATATTACATGAAAACGAATTAACGGAATGTATAAAATTTAAGAATCAGTATACTGGTTCGCAAAGAAACGCGATATTCAGAATTAATAGAGAATCACCGTGTGAAATTCTAATGTACACGACATTAAGAAGTATAAAAAATTGCCATACAAAATATATCTCAACAAACCACACCTTTATAATTGCTTTAACACAGAAAAATGCGTGGCTATATTCCACGCGCAACGAGTAAACTGCTCCCATTCAATGTCGCAACAAGATATTTTAGAAAAAAATTAACAAAACAGGAATCATAAACATCAGAAATCGATGTAGACTAACAGTCGAAAAAATTATATTACAAGCACAAGGTACCATAAGTAGCACGCTAATACAAGTACACGTACCAGAATACAATATT